CGAGAAAAAGCTACCTATGAAATCATGATTCAAAAACGAACTATTCTTGAATAAATAATAAAAGCCTCACATCTACAGCAATTAAAAATTGCATTTTAAAATTGGCAGATTCATCTTTTATATACATATGCAAATCTCAGCTTCCTTCAGCTGCTCCAAGTGTATTTTGAGTTCTGTCTCTACCAACTAACGTAAGCTCTAGACCACTAAAGATGACCCTCTTGAGAATTCACAAGGAAGATACCCTGTGGGCTCATATTCAGGTCCTACCGGCTACCACCAGGCCTATTCCTGGGCTCTCAGCTGCCTCAGCAACTGTTGGTAATCTGGCAGAGAGAACAGCGATGTTGAAAATATTTAACCACTAGAACACAGGTACCGACCTATCAGAATGGCTGTAAAAACTGGTTCAGGCATGCTGGTGTGTGCCAGCTAATCTCAGCCTGCCCAGGTAGGCCCCACCACTTGGCTGGCTGCTCTCAGGCTGACTTGGTCTGGGTCTGCCAGGCCCTGGCAGGACAGGCTTCCTGCAGCGTGCGTCTGCTGCTACTTCAGAGCCCGGGAGGGGGTCTGTGGCAGCCTCTTTGCTGTCTCTGGGTGACAGTTCCTTAGAGAGGAGCAAGACCACTGCTGCGTGTGATGCATGGCACCCAGAGTTTGCGGTGAAACAGCTCCCACGATGTCAACAGCCTTCCCCCTTCCCAGGAGATTCCAGAGGAGCCATTTGCCCAACGCTCACAGTGGTGAAAAGCTTCAAATCTAGACTTTCGATGTGATTTCCAAGTGAGGGTAAATGTACAGCCACAGAGATACAAGGTCTGGACTGCAAGGGGAGATGTTTATCTCTAAATCTGGTCTCATGACCACACAGAAGAGCAAGTTGTCCTCCATAAATGAACATGTCTAAAAATCTTGTCATTTCCAGCCAGGCACAGTGGCTAACGCCTGTAATCCCAGCACTTTGGGAGGTCGAGGTAGGCGGATCACCTGAGGTTGGGAGTTGGAGACCAGCCTGGTGGGCATGGTAAAACCTGTCTCCACTAAAAATACAAAAATTAGCCAGCTACTTAGGATGCTGAGGCACAAAAATCACTTGAACCCAGGAGGTGGAGATTGCAGTGAGTCGAGGTTGTGCCACCTTACTCCAGCCTGGGTGACAGAGCAAGGCTTAGTCTCA